TAAAATCGATAAGAGTAGACTTCGGACGCCGCCCGGGCAAAATTCAAAATTTCCTACCAACTGAAAATATTAGGTGTACCCCGTGCGCTCATATGATCTTATGCAGTTGCGAGCGCCGTAAAACACTTGCAAAAAAAATTATTACTAAAATTGTCTCTTTTCTTTATTACGTTTTTATTCCGTCGTTTCATTAATTTAAGGTGTTAAAACAATGCTTTCATGTTTGCCATTGATTATCAATTAATGGTTCATTGTGCTGTCAAAATTAGATGGTTCACTACTGTGTTCATGACAATCGGTCCACTGTGTAGGCCCTATATGATGAAATTGTTCAATGATTCACTGCGTGCATAATCAAATGGTTTGACGGCTCACTTTCACTTTGTACGTGATCAAATACAGTGAACTCTTTGGGACCAGAAGAACAGTAGCTACGCGCAGTGGTGGGTCTAGTGTGGAGATGGGGTGAGGGGACAACAACAACACAGCGGGCCAGCCTAGACTAGAGCTCTTTCTTTTTCTTTCTGACTGAGATTGCCGTCGCTAACGCCGAGTTCGGATTGTCTGGCGATGCCCATGGCAAAGAATCTTATTTTCACTACATGGCGGCAGTGACACTGTTGGGTCGTTCTTCGCTTTCACTCATATTGGGCGTTCACTTTATCCGATTTCCCCATGAAACCGGTTTATTTTATCCACTACATTTTTACTTAAACAAATAGCGTTTCAATCGGGACCACTGAATATCGTTCACTTTAACCGATTGTTCAAATAAAGCGCGTTCACTTTAGGCGGACTCCACTGCTGTCCAATAGTTCACTATGTACATTTTCAAATGGTTCGACGGTTCACTTTCACGGTGTACATGATCAAACGGTTTGATAGTTCACTTTCACTGTGTACATGATCAAATGGTTCGATGGTTCACATTCACTGTGTACATTTTCAAAAATAAAAGGTGCAATGGTTTACTGTTTACATGGTTCGATGGTTCACATGACCATGCTTCATTTTGTACCTGATCTCTCTCCTGCAGGGCCCAGTGGCCGCACTGCCAGTACCGGTCCGCACAACATCCGCTGAGAAATCCATGTACAGCGCCCGGGACCCGCGAGATGGTACGTACTTGCACTCAGCACTCACAGCGTAGGCGTAATCGTTGTTTTTGCACCTACATGTATAATGTACACGCAAGCACACACGACCACACGCTTTTAATGTATCATTATAATCAGTGGCGAAGCGTCTATATAATCAAATAATCACTGCTTCCCTTCCTGATTTTGAAACATTTTCGCTGTCAAATTCACCCATAAACGTTAACCTCGTAAATTCAAAGTAAAAAGACGTTCATAAATCATAATCAACAATGAACAGTATGCCTAACATTCAAAACGGTTCCACGGCCACACCTCTCGGGCCACTCCATAAGCAGTCGCAAGCTTTGATTAAGTAAGCTTAAAGTGAGGCTGGAAGAGTCTACCAATAGCTCACTTCTGTATCCGGTTTCGATATAGATCTCGGGCCGTTCGTGACTGCGGATTTATTGGCGCCTCACATCTTTCCATGGGAACCCACGAAAGAGGACGGGGATTCGTCGACAGGGAGCGTTGCCGGTCCTAGTGAATAGGACCATGGTCAGCGAGGAACCTGGTGGACCCCTCTTTATTCTTTTTTTTTTTTCAACAGCCCTTTTCAGGGCTATCAAATTTTCAACTTGTAAATGGAGTTGCATTTAACAGTCTTTTAATTTTTTTTATTTTTTTTTTTTTTGTTGCAAGTGAAGACGTCGTACCTGAAGTCTTCTTCTTCCTCTTCCTCTTCTTCTTCTTCTTCTTTTTCTATCCCCCCCCCCCCCCTCTTCTCTTTCTACTTCCTCTTGCTCTTCTTCTTCTTTTATATTTCCTCTTCCTCATCTTTTTCTTCTTCTCCATCATCTTTTTCGACTTCCAGCTCCTCTTCTTCTAATTCTATCTCCCCTCCTCCTCCTCCTCCTCCTCCTCCTCCTCCTCCTCCTCCTTCTTCTTCTTCTTCTTCTTTTTTTTCTTCTTCTTCTTCTTCTTCTTCTTCTTCTGTAAACTGTCAGGATCAGGAACAACGCTCCTGAATTTTGTCATATTTACATAAAAATACAAATTTTTCATGGAGCAAAAATTTGACGAGATAAGCAAAAACAAAAGCTGTTTCTGAAATCAAAGACCCCAAATTAGCTAAGAACAAGTCTTAAACCCAGGTCAAACATCATGCCGCAAAATAAATAAAATGTGTGTTGGCCAGTATAAAAATCCGGATGGATGTTTCATGTTTCAGCAGACTTTGGTGTTTGTGCCTTTATTCACAACGGTTTTATCGGCGTTCTTTTGTACGAACTGCTTTTTCTGGTCATCCGCTATATTTATGATTTTACTTGCCCGCTGCACCGTGGGAGAAATTTTGTTTACACACTCATTGTTTAGTATGCCGCGGGTGTATTTCCTCAGCAAACGTTTTGCAACTGTATGCATTTAACGAACTTAGAAATAAATTAGATACTTTTTAAACCACAACCAACGACTGTATACATTATCGGCAACGGCAAAAGATGTTTCACAATCAAAATCAAAAGTGGGGTGGGGGCGGGGGTTCTTTATTTGTTTCTTTGTTTGTTTTTTGGTAGTGGGGGGGGTGTTGTTGTTGCTGCTGCTTTTATTAGAATGGGGTGGGGTGGGTCTTTTGTTGTTTTTTATGGGGGTTTTTTAAAGGATATCAAGACAGGTTTGGGGTGGCCTGGCTGGAATGAACAAAACTCTACGTGTATAAAAGTCGATCTTCAATTACCACAATGTGACCTCGGGCGATCTTATCGTAGATGAAAAATGAATGTGTCAGATTATGCAGAATTTATTTACCTTGAGGTATGCTGCATGAGTGGGTGGTGCAAGGCTTTAACACGATAATTGGTGATTACATTTTCAAGTTTCTTTTGGGCACCACTGTATATAAATATATATACTTGTGTGTGTGAGTTGGCATGCGTGCGTGGGTGTTTGTGTGTATGCGTGCATACGTGCGTGCGTGCGTGCGTGCGTGCGTGCGTGCGTGCACGCGTGTATGTTACTTACTTGTTAGTAGGTTTGAGAATAGGCACCATTGCAGGCGGAACAATGCTATACCTGCTCCTCCCTCCTCTCCAGGATCCATGTCCATGAATTGAAAGGGTCTGCCTGCTGATCGTGCCAGTTAACAGCTGGTTAGTTATTCTTCTGGCTTTTCCACGCAGGTTGCTGTCTCTCTCCGACCCTCTAGAGACACCAGCTTCCCTTAGTCTATCCATTGTGTGTGAAGTGGTGCCTTTATCCTCTCTGTAATCGTTGACCCATACTGTCAATGCTGCCATGACTGTTGGTGGATCTAATCGCATGGTGCCGCCAATCTCAACCTGGCCGGCTAGCTCTCTCTCTTTCTCTCTCTCTCTCTCTCTCTCTTTCTCTCTCTCTCTCTCTCTCTCTCTCTCTCTCTCTCTCTCTCTCTCTCTCTTTCAAGAGAGTAGTAGATCTAGTGAAAGGAGTACTATAATATTATTTATAATTTATAGACTTTTTCACCGTGTTTTCTTTTTCTCTTCTTTTCGTATGCCATGCCATCGAGGCGCTAAACTATCTTTTCCACCTCGCATCTCGCATGCTATGCATACATTTTTATTAATAACTAGCTCGGTCCCCTTTCGATGAAAGGAATGATCGGTGCATTAACATCAACTGAAAGTCATTGGCCAACTATATTAATTTACACTCTCCTGAAATCTATATATTATTATAAAAGGGAACTTGAGACTTGGGAGGCTTTGTGCACAAACTCCTCAAGGGGTGCACGGCTAGTGAACGGAAACCTTCACTTGTTTACAATAGCATCTTAGAAGACGGACTTTCCCAAAATTAGAACTCTGTGTGGACGAAACAAAGTATTTTGGAAAAAACGAGGAAAGCAGTTTGCGTGGATTTTTAAAAGTAAGGTCCCAGCCACGTGGATGCTGTGGACGCCTGCAAAGTTTCAAAGGTGTGGGTTAGATAATAAGGGAGGAGTTTGTGCACAAAGCCTCCCAAGTCCACTTACATATAAATACTAGCTGTGCCCCCTTTCGATGAAAGGAATGATCGGTGCTTTAATATCAACTAAAAGTATTGTCCTACTATATTTACAGTCTACTGGAATGGGACAATAAATCTTGAGAGATACGAAAAATTATAAGGTCTAGATCTAGATCTAAACTCTCAAAACAAAATGCGCCTCGAGAAATATCACTTCCGGATTTTCTAAAATTACAAAGACAGAAGCGTCGGCCTACAAAAGCGATCGGCGAAATAAAGAAGTTTAGCTTTATGCAGCAAAACTGTCTCAAAACTGAAAAAACGAAGGGTGCCATGAACTGGGGAATATTTTAAAGAATATTTTGGCGAAAACCGCATGTCGATCGATGCAGCCATTAAAAAGCCTTTTGAATAGCAAAATTCGGCCACCACAAATAGATAATATATATGTATATATATAAATATATATTATAGGGACAAGGGGAAATCGATTTCAGGAGATATTGAGTGTTCAATTTAAAAACTTTTAAACTGCATTTTCGTTGTCTTTTTCTGTCATTTTCCCCGTCCTTTTTTATTCTTCTCACCTTGGCGGAGTATTTTACTTTCAGCATGCCTCTCATTACCAAAGATAGTACAAGACAAGATGGGCCACTTCTCTCTTTGAGCCAATTAAAAAAGTGTCCTCAAAATTTGGTGGCGCCCTCTTCACAAAAGCGCACTCTTTGCGAACAGAGTTACCCTACTTGAGTTTTTAAAAATCAAAGTGAAACTAGCAAGTTTTGGGATAAATTTCGGAAGAACGCTTTTTAAAAATGATTACGCTGACAAAAAAACTCTTCCGGAGGAAAAGGAGATGGTTTTCTTCGTTTAATTTGACTTTAGAATGAAGGGCGAGAGGTCATTAAAATTCTTTAAAAAACCTAAAACTCCGCACTGAACATACCCGAACTGCTGATGAACAGCAGTCGATCTGCGCACGAAAGGAGGTGCTATTCCTATTCTTCTTCTGGAAAAACGAAAGAGAGCTTCAAAACAGACTGCAGCGCCATCTGAAGCAAAGAGCATACTTCCTGCGGACACTTTTTAGGCTGAGTGGCCCATCTTGTCTTGTACTATATTTGTCATTACCTGAGTCTTTATTGGTTACCTATACCCTGATGCGGAGTGAGGGAGACAGTGATGATAATCACGAATTCTAAAGAATCATTCACCATAAAAAAAAGCGGTCATTTGTGTAGAGCGCGTTTTTGGGCGACTGAAATGTTGATTAATTTTATAACTTGTACAGCTGTGAAATGAATACATGTATGAGGTTATTTACTCCTCACCTATACCTGTAGCCCGTTTTGCACTGATGATGATGATGAAGATGATGATGATGATGATGATGATGATGATGATGATGATGATGATGATGATGATGTAGAATCTTAGCAACCAACGCACCATTGCGCATCGTATTATAAATTAACGCTTTTGTCATCAGAGTGTCTCTAATTTTGTTTTCTTTTCTTTTCTTTTGCTTGTTGGTTCGTGTTTCTGATGAAACCCGAGCAGAGCGAAACGTCAAACATTTTCTTTTATTATAATGAAACGTCATAAAGTTTCAAAAATCCCCAAGTCTCGCATCATGACTGAGCCAAGATTCTATCCTTCCTGCAGGCCGGCTGGTGTTCCCCGAGGACGTAGCATGCCGCCAGTGCAGCCGGTCAGACATCCGTCAGTTCGCCCAGGAGGCTAGAAGGCTGGGGGTCAAGTACATCGGCCTGTGCTGTGGCGCCACTCCGGCCCTGCTCCGCGAGGTGGCACAGGTGTACGGCAAGAAGGCCAGGCTGAGCAAGTACGCTCCGGACACCAGCCGCAGCTTCTACCTCAAGGCGGGCGCCTCGGAGAGTGGCCTAACTATGAGGGCCTTTATGTTCGGGGAGAAGGACGCCTGGCCTTGAAGGGACGTTTTGTTGTTTTGTTTTAGTAAGTGTTTTACGGCACTTGCGAGACAATGAGGTCATATAAGTGTCGAAGATTAGAGGTGTTACAAGAGAGTAACAAACACAAAGAGGAGGGGAGATAAAGACGATGGATGTTTGATAGGAAATAAGAAGCAAACCTCACCAGAGCACCCACCAACCACCCACGAATAGATCTTTTGTTTAAGAGAAAGGGAAGCACATCGACATAATATAATAATGGTCATTTAATGCTGCAGAAAAAGTAAGACAGAACAGATAGAAACAATAGAGGGAAAGTAAAGAACTAGGACCTACAACCAACAATGTCCTCGAACCACCCGCACATCACCCGCATGAAGCGATCTTGCGACCAAAATACAGCAAAATACAACTAATTTTTGTGTGAGTTTTACGTCATTTGCAACATAATTAGGTAATGTGGAGACGGTTAAAGGTTTTGTTTGTTTTAGTAGAGGTTTTACGGCGCTCGCAACTGCATAAGGTCATATTATGAGCGCCAGAAGATCAGAGGTGTTACAAGAGAGTAACAACCATAAAAAAGAAGGAGGGGAGATAAGGACTACAGATGTTTGATAGGAAAGAAGAAGCAAACCACACCCGAGCACCCGCCAACCACCCACTGGTTAAAGGTTTAACAAGAAAGCAACCTGCAAAGAAAAGCAGGAGGAGAAATAAAACAATCTCGTTAAAAAGACAGCTCTTTTGTTTGAGTTATGATTAAGAGATGTACTTTGATACGGCAGCGGGCCTTTAAGAGAAATGCAGGGCAGACGGACGACAGTGTAACGGACTTGCAACAGATTTAGGTCATAGGTGCCGAAGATTAGAGGTGTTAGAAGAGAGTAACATCCAAAGAAAAGGAGTAGGAGAGATAAGGACAACCTCGATAAAAATACATGTACAGTTCTTTCTTCGGTTGAGTTAAGATTAAGAGAAGTGCTGTGATATGGTGACGGGCCTTTGGTGTTGGGAAATGTACGACAGACGGACGGGTAGACACTTTTAGTAAAAGTTTAATTTGCAGCCCAGTTAATGGTTATAAATACCGAAGATTAGAGATGTTAGAAGAGAGTAGCATCCAAAGAAAGGGAGGAGAGATTTATAAGGACAATCTCATTAAAAATACAGCTCTTTGGTTAAGATAAAGGATAAGCACATGGCATTGATGGTAACGGGTCTTTAGTATTGGAAAACGAAAGAAAGACACAGCGAGAGATAGAGACAGAACATAAAGTAAAATATAGAGATCTCATGTAGTAGTAAGTAACCTGCCATGTGGAGCGCGCGAGATATCGGAGGAGAATACAAGCCATACATTAAACAAATGTGTTTTACAGTTCGGTATCTCAGATACTAACACTTTCGTGCTTTGAAATTCTAGCAGAAAATAAAGGTACTCCTACTACTGCTCTCTCCAGACCCTGGAATGGTGTAATGTATCATTTTAATCAGGTACTCTCTCTCTCTCTCTCTCTCTCTCTCTCTCTCTCTCTCTCTCTCTCTCTCTCTATCTCTATCTCTCTCTCTCTCTCTCTCCCTCTCCCTCTCTCTCTCTCTCTCTCTCTCTCTCTCTCTCTTTCACACACACACACATACACACACACACACACACACACACACACACACACACACACACACACACACACACACACACACACACACACACCTGCACTCTCTCTCAGTCTATCTTATCATTCATATATTATTATAAAAGCACATTCCAAGAAAAGTAAAAAACAAAAGTAATCAATTGCTAGTTAAAAAAAACAACAAAGGTAACAAAGCTTTGAGAAAAAAATGTTTTATTGACATTTTACAAACGCTAATAGTAAAAGTAGGATTACAATGCCCAGCGACGGACTAAGTGTAAAGCAAAAATGATTTTGAACCCTGACTGTGCAATGACGGCGTGATGAAAAAGGAACCGTAGTAATGGTACATGAAAAATGGAAGTGAAAGAATCCTAACACAGAGCTAAAGGACATTGCTGTTGTACTCAAGACACATTTTTTTCAAGATTTGCAAAAACAAAAGTGTAGGCGTGTTGGTTTAACACTGCCATCAACAGTAGTAGGTGGACCTCTGAATTCAACGTCTAACTCCGATTGGACCGAGCCAAATTGGAAATCGACCTAAGCTAGAACAAAAAAAAAATTTTTTTTAACCATCTGCATCTATAAAATCGTGCATTTTCCTATTATAACATTTAATTCTCTTTATTGTCGTCCCTATGTTTTGGAAAACCCTTTTATGACGCTCATTTATACAAGTACTTATTTAAGACATTTTTTAATACATGGCCAACCTTTCTCCCATTGTCAATAATTAACACAGTCTGCAGAACGTACCATTTTTGTTTTAAGAGTAAAATAACATCTGATCTACACAGGATGCAAAACTACCTGAAACAAAGGACAGTTCTTTGTTCAAAACATGAGCACTTTAAATTTATACTCTATTAAATCATTGTATTGTAACTGATTTACCCCCCCCCCCCCCCCCCCAAATCCACACAATTTAGATTATTTAGATTGCAGACTACTTTAGTAATACCTGTCAAGGCCAACCAGTACTGTGTGAATACAACATCCCAGCTGACAGATAGACCTTGATATAGCGTACTGAATAAAAGAATTTTTTTTTTAAAGAAAATTTCAAAATAACACACATTTTGCGTGCGGGTGTGAGTGTGTGTGTGGGTGGGTGGGGGGTAGCAAAAGTTTTACAGCACTTGCAACACGATTTGGTCATACAAGTGTTGAAGATTAGAAGTGTTACAAGAGAATAACACACAGAAAAGGAGACAGGAGGAGAGTTAAGGACATATCAGGTGTTTGATAGGAAAGAAGGAGTAAATTATACTAGAGCACCTGCTAACAACCCACTCAGATCTCGCGTGTGCAATATATGGCAAAAAACCTGGCCACTACACCAGCTCAGGCCATTGTACCTAGAAATACTTTCTTTAAAAACCAAAAGAGACAATTTATAAGAAGTGATGGTAGTGAGTAAAGCTTTGGCCTACTTTTAATGTTAGTATTTGACAAAATATTACCACATGCCAGTAAAGCCAAATGCAAAAAAAGTGCTTACATTTTTTGCTCTCCAAAAAAGTGCTTACATTTTTTGCTCTCCAAAACTGAAGACAATCATTTCGTGCACAATTAACTGTGTAATACTTAACAACGCATACCTACAACTGCCGAATAATGTGCTCCGCAAACATCTGAACTATGTTACATGAAAGACAAACTGTCCACATATTAGCAAAAGCTGTAAACATTTGAGTCGAACACTGCTTGATAAATTGTATCTTAGACTGCCTTTTCATTTCTCCACTTAGATGAAACTAATCAAATCTGCTGTATAGGAAAAACAACATATATAAAAAATTTATTTTAAAAAAATTATATATATATATATATATATATATATATATATATATATATATATATATATATATATATATATATCAATTGGCCCTACTATGAAATGATGATCAAAATCAAAGAGCAGCCACAAAGTTGTCCAATTTCACGTCTTGGAGAGAAATTCCATGCATTGGTCTAAATAATAGCAGGAGGACATGTATAAATCCATTGGAAAGCAATTTTTCAAGGGATGATTTTTAAAAATCCAGATTTTTGCTTTGCTCAAACCCTTCACATTCTAATTTTCATGATTGAATTACAAGATGGAAAATATCACTTCAATAATAGGTCAAAGCTTCAGGGTCTTCACATACATCGAGGAATCCCATTTTGATCGAGAGAATATAATGAAATTCGAAAAATTTTCGACTTACAAAGAATACAATTTTTAGATAAAAACTAGAACTGTACGACCCATGAAAACAAAATTGTTAGAAGTGCCATTACCATTGTTTTGAGAAACTGTGATAGTAAACTTAAGCTGCTTATAATCTTGTTTTTTAAAGGTACATGTATTGTTAAAGACACATAATTCAATATAGCTTGTTATTCACTATCATAATGTTATTTTACTTCCGTTTTTGGCACTTGAGACAATTTTGCTTTCAAGAGACAAATTTAAAAGAACTTAAAGAAGATGCCTCCAAAACAAAAAGGGTGACGTTGAAGTGGCGCTCAAAAAAGTAATGCCTTTGAGAAGTGGTATATTGTTTACTAAACCACACCGGATTTTTTTAAAAACCGGATAAATTTTATTTATGCAGCAGGCACACAAAGTAATATATATCAAAAACAAGAACGTGTAAGCATTTAATAAACATATTATGTACACAACTACAGGTACCCACAAGCATAAAATGGCACAAACCAACAAAATGATAATTGCATCAATACTGTGATTGATTCTAATGTATCGTACATTATGGTTTACCCTCATGTGACTATAATGCAAAGAAATTGCTTTGACATGACAAAGAATTTCCACCATGATTTTATTCCCATCACACTATGCAAATTGACAACTAAATGTGAGGCATTGTGGTGAAATCACGCGCTCATCAAAATAATAAAATCGAAGAAACTGGCATTTTTTTACCACTTGGTAATTTTTATCGAATTTTTGGTTTCTTGACTCAACACCTTTAAGGTCCATTTAAAAAAACATTTCTGAGTGTTGATTTGCAGTTTTGCAAACTTTGGCGGCCATTTTCTTGCGGCCATTTTCTAGCTAGTTTTACCTCTGAAACAGGCGACCCCCACCTCCTTCAATCTCAAATAAATATCTCGACTTGTATTCCTGATAGATGAGCATTTTTTTCACAGAAAGCAAAACAAATGAACAAGCTTTCAGATGATACCAATAACTCCACATGTCCTAAAATTGATGAGCGCCTGATTCTACCACGCCCTGACAAATAGACTACAAAACAGTAGGATTCTGTGAAACGTCATTTTGAAAAGTGACATATGGTGGGAGTCTTACACTGAACTGAGCAGTGGAAATGTTTTACACCCCCAACAATACACTTTTAGATTATTGAGAAGACAGGCTGCTTTGACTCTGTCAGTCGGGAGGAATCTAGATTTACGGGACGTTTACAATCAGTAAGACTGAGATGCCAGATTAAATATTCATCAACAAGTAGGAATCCTCTCATGAGCCTTGCAAGCAGGGCAAAGAGTCTCAAATTTGAGAAAAAAGAAGCACATCGACCTTATTGTAATGGTTATAATAACCATATTATAGCGCAGGAAATCTGAAAAAAGAAGCAAGACCGAATAGAGACAACAGAGAGAAAAAAAAGAAGAAGGTAAGGACCTAACAGTGGTGCCATCCAACCACCCTTAAGGGCAAAGCAGCGAGCCTTTACACTAGTACACCCTGAAATCCAGTACAACTGCATGACCATCCACTTAGTACACTCAGCTTATATATATATGGG